TTTTGATCTGAATCAACACAGACATTTTAAACACCTTTTCAGCCTTCCTGCTAAAACAGATGCTAATATTTTATAGTCAGTATTTAGGAAACTCAAATTTGAAAGATTTTCTTTGTCGCCTTTCTTATGCAAAAGGATTATGATAGCTCTAGTTTGTCAAATTGGTAAATTCCCTAATAACAATGATGTTTTGAATAACTTGAACAGAATATATTTCTAATTATTCCAATAACATTGGTTAAACTAAAAAAAAAATACCATCTGAGCCTGGACTTTTTCCTTTTTTAGTCCCATTAGTCCCATAAGGGTTATTTCTGAATCACAGTATTCCTTTTGTTTTTCATTTAATACATTATCACGATACACGATCATGTTTTAAGTGAATCATTCACTTCTTTCTCTTTTCCTCTACCCGAATAAAAACGAGAACAATATTCAAATTCAGCTTCAATTATATATTTCGTATTTCTGTATATTATTCCATTAACATTTACTTTAAAAATATTCTTTAATTTAGAGTTTCTTTTTTCTAACCCTAGCAAATATTTGTGATTTCGCTCACAATCTTCATACCATTTGATTTTGGACCTATTTGTGCTGCATGTATTTCTTATTCATAAAATGAAGACAAGTGTCTTCTAACATGAGACAATTCGGTATCTTGATCTTCATTTAATATACCAAGATTTGATAAATGATTTAACCGGTCTTGTTAAAAAAATGTCCGCCTTTTCTTATCCTTGCCTCATTAATACAATAATTAACTGACATGTGTTTTATTTTCTGTTGAAAATTTCCCATTAAACCGATAAATTCTCTTTTTTATAATAACTTTTTCTTCAAAATTACTACTAAGAGAAATTCCATTTTTCTAATTAACATCATCTTGCAAAAGTAAGTTAATCAGTTTTGAAGTTCCTTTGCCTTTTTTGCCGCCTTAAATTCGATCGTTAAGTACACCGCATTATGGTCTGACATAAAGCGACCTAAAATTACTATATAACTTTTGCAAAATCATTTAACCATTTGGATAACAGGAACAAGTCGATTCGAGACTGTACAACTACAAAGCATGGATAAGATTGTTCATGTGAAAATTTCCTTCCTTTCAAGGTTTCTAACTCTCCATATATCAATTGAGTTTATAAAAAGATTTGGTTACGCAAATAAAAAGCATCATTACCATCTTTAATCATTTCTCCATTTTTGTCCTTTTTACAATTCTGGTGCTTAATACATTTGGTGAATATAAATTAATAACCAGATAGATTCACCTGCAAAAGATACTTCTATTCCATTCAACCTGCCATTTCCAAAAGCAATCTTTTCGTGAACATCGATAGCCTTGTTGCGGAGTAAAATGCTTGTTCCGCAGCTTTGCGAAGTACCCACTGAATGAAAAGCACGACCTGACCAATCATATTTATTTTGTTTCTTTACAATGTCATCTGTGAAATGGGTCTCCTGAAGTAATATGATATGCGCATCAATATCCTTTTTCCATCTATATATTTTCAATCGTTTAAGCGACAGTTTAGCGACACTATGCTAAGATACATCGAGCTCATGCATTCGTAAGTAAAGTGACCTCGATCAACTACTGCTTAACACACTTCGGGTCGTGTCAAAGGCATTGCCGAAGGGGATGCATTTTTTTTAAACCTTTAAAATAAGCCATATATTGATTAAAATAATTTTGGTTAATTTACTGTCTATGGTAAACTATAGCATAATCGCGTGATCTGTTCAAGGTGGTAAACCTGCATCCGATATCCTTCCGGGGGCTCTTCAATTGGTATACGATCATCATTCGTAATTATCTGCTGGTTCTTTTCACTTCCGAAGAGGTGATTCGTGTCCTCTCGAAAGCGTCCCGGAACTAGACCGTCGAATCTACGCGGTGTAGAAGGTCAACTATATAGGGATAGGCCTACTAATTGGCGGAGCTATGGGTTTCATGAGACATGGCCCTAAAATCGGAAGGCAAATGGTGGGGAGGCGGGGGGGGGGGGGGGGGGGGAGAAAGAGGGAAAGAAAGTGAGGGGGAATGTAAATGAAAGATAGAAAAGAGGATATGGCGCTCTTATATAACTAATCCACTTGGTGGCCTCATCACACATTTATTCAGTCGTAAGATCACGCCCTATCCATGACTATAGCTAGTCCTTCCTTTATTGACTGGACCCGAGCTGGGTATAGGCCTACCGACTTCATCTGAGCTCTTTGTCACGTAGAGAGATGACGCAAGATCGATGACGGAACTTTGGGCTGACCTGGGAAAATCAGAAAAGACTAGAAAAAGAATAAATAAGAGAGAGAGAAAGAGAGACAGAGAGAGAGAGTCATACAGACAGAATATCAGAGACAAAGACAGTGAGAGGGAAAATAAGAGAATAAGAGAAAGAGTGGGGTAATTAAACACGTTAGAGAGAGAGAGAGAGAGACAGAGAGAGACAGACAAAGACGGGTGGACACAATGTCCTTACGTATCTTACATGATGCATTTTTTCTTTAAGCTTAAGTTAAAAAGAATATTCATTTTGCTTATGGTCATATATTATGATTAAAATTAAAATAAGGAAAGACACACATAATTGTATAAGGGCGCATGTCTATTTCTTAATTTGAAAAATGCTGTACGATACGTTTCGTGAGCGATTTTGATGTATTTTGAAACGCTTTAAATCTTTGATAGAATTTCAGATGTATCTGCGTGTGGTCTGATGAACAATATATTTCAATTGTCTTGATGTTACACGTTCTCTAAATTCAGTTTAACACTTAATGTCTCTCAACATTAGGCTGATCTAATGATGGTTTAATATACTTATTACACCGGCAGTGGCAAAAACGTTTGTGGGGGGGGGGGGGGTAGACAAAAAAGTAATCCCCATCACCCCACTCTTACGTTTCTCGGCTGGGGTCAAGGTGTGGAGCCCCAAGAAGCTCAGGGGGTATAGGCATCTATGGGGTGTGTTCTTACCGTAATGGTCACCGTGAGCGTATATGGCAATTACTAACACAAAGGTTTCCGTCATTCTACCCGGTCCCCATTTCTCTCCTGTGTATGGGGTGGCAAATATAGATTAATGCCTTGCCAAATAACATAAGTGCTGTGTCGAGGATCGAACCAACGACCTTTGCATTTTAATTCAAGTTCTTGAACCACTTGACTACACATACACACTAAAGTCAAACAACTTTTGATTTTTTGTAAAATCAAAATTTCTTCGTTGTATTCTTTATATTTTAGAGGCTTCCTTGGTTATGTCAGCAGAGGTGACGCTCCTCGGGGGCCCTTTTTACATAAAATGTGCCCTTTTACTTTGAAAAGTGCCCCTATTGATTTTTTAAAAGTGCCTCTTCCCCTTTCCACCTCTGATAGGCGCCCCTTTTATTTTGATATGTACCCCTTTTCCTCGACAAGCTCCCATTTTCCTTTGCAATAAGTGTCCATTTTCCAATCTCAAAAGTGCCCTTTTCATCTCTAGTAAGTGGCCCTTTTCAGGTACGAAGAGCGCCCCTTTTCAAATTTGATAAGCGCCCCTCTACCTCTGATAATTACCCTATTCAAATCTTAGAGGTGTCCCTTCTACTTTGACAAGTGCCCCTGTTTCTTTGTAAGAAGTGCCCTTTCCTCTTTTAATAACTACCCTCTTTTTAACTCGGATAAGCACACCTTATATTTTCACATGTGTCCCCTTTCCTTTCTGAAATGTGCCCCCAATTAAAAAAATAAAACCCTTCCCCTTTTCATAAATGCCCCTTTTCACCTATGGAAATAGTCCCTTTCAACCTCATAAGTGCCCCTTTCATCTCTGGTAAATGACCCGATTAAATTCTGAGAGGTACTTATTTTACTTTGACAAGTGCCCCTTTTCCTCCTGATAACTGCTCATTTCATCTTCAATAACTGCCCCTTTTTATTTTGACATGTGTCCCTTTTCCTTCCGAATAAATGCTCTTTTTCCCTCTCATAAGTGCCCCATCCCCTTCTCATAATTACCCTTTTCTTTTCTGTTAAGTACCCCTTTTTATTTTAGCATATGCCTCTTTTTAATTTTTTTTATAAGAGCCACTTCCCCTTTTTATAAATTCCCCTTTCACCTCGCGGTCAGTGCCTCTTTTTCGTCGACAAATTCCCATTTCTCATTCTCATAAGTACCTTTTTCATCCCTAGTGAGTAGCCCTTTTTTTAGGTGTAAGAAGTGCCCAATTTTCACCTCTGATAACTACCCGTTGTACTTTGACACGGGCTCCTTTTCTTTTTTAATAAGTGTCCCCTTTTCCTCTCATCATTAAACGTGCCCCCAATTTCAAGCGACTAGAAGCAATATCGCCCAAATCTCGCTCTCTACGCGCGCTTGCACTTATAGATGTTATTGTTATGTTACTTATCAAAGGTATTTTTAGTCTTCTGTTATGAGAATGTACTTATAACCCCATCAGGATTGGGTTTTTCCTCTTTATAACATGTAAATTTTTCGCACTGCGACCTCACAAATCTTAATTTTTTTCCTTGCTCGCTTTGATCTCTCGCAAATGAATTTTCGGACCATCAAACCCAGCTGCAAAGTATGATGCTAAAGCAATATCTTATATGATGTATAAAAAAAAATATTGAAATCATCCCTGATAATGTAATCACAATATAGGAGTATATACCAATGTCTAAAAAATTGTATATTTTCGCTTTGAGATTTTCCTATGTAGGTGCCCTTTTTTTCCTGAAAGTGCCCTTTTTGTTGGTGCCCCCCCACTTTGGAAGTCGTTCCGCCGCCTTTGTATGTCAGTGAATGGAAAATCACACCATATGCCCTTAGATACTTGAACTTAAAGTGCAAAATTAAGTGGTTTGTCGATTTCCTAAGGGTGCACGGTATATCCTGTTCTCGAAAGGTGATCCTGTTAAACCTCTTACCAACACCAACATGCTGGTGGCTTTTGATCTTTAGATTTGTCTTAGAAAAAAAGTGTTCTATCGGAGTCTGCTTCTCAAGTCCAACCGCAGCGAGAACAGCTAGTGAAGTCGTCACAGTACATCTGGAACGGGTCCGAAGGTGTTAGCTAAAGTATCAGCGAAGAGCCTTTAATCAACCGACTTTGAAATTGGCGACTTCATCTTTCCAGCGTGTATCACCCATCGCCATCTCAACATCAAAATGATGTTCGCGGCTTATCTAGTAGTGTGCTTTTTAGTAACAGCGGCGCACGCTCAGAGTAGTAAGTCTGAAATTAATTGATTCAATTATGCTTACGATCAAAAGGGTGCTTCTGTAAATTGTATTTCTTCTTTTGTTTCAAGTAAGGGTGTAGATTTTTCCTCAGCAACAATCGGGAGAAAGGAACTGAAGCATCTTGTCTGAATATCAACTATCATGTTTCTAAATTTGCGAAAAAGCATATCGAGCGAGAAAAAACACACGATTTACCAGGACCTACGCTAATTTTTTTTGTAGTTATCCATTAAAAGCAGTTACAATGTATAGCATACAATGGTAACAATACTTCGCTTAAACTTCGCTTTAATATAGGGATATCTGAACACCTCACCGCCTGAAACCATCCCGTTTTCTTAATGTTGTGAGCAGGGGCGTACGCAGGATTTTTTCGAGGGGGGGGGGGGGGGGGGGTTCGACCCCCCCTTTGTACGCGCCTAAATCTAAATATGTTAAATAAAATGATTATGAAAATAATTATTTTCTTGCTGCCCTTATAATTATGAGAGGTACAAGGAAAGTATTAATGATCTTCGTAATAAAAACAGGGCAACAGTGCAATATTCTAATATTAATCATCTGGGTAAAGACATATCTGATTGCAAGGAAATTGTTGAATTATATAATGATTATTTGTTACAAATATTGGATTAAACATAGTTCATACATTGCCTCATACTGTAAATACTTTTGATAAGTTTTTGCCTCCTAGGAACTTGCTCAGCCCCATAGAACCTAGTGGAATATTGAAAATTGTGTCTGAACTTCAATTAAATAAAAGTCCTAGGTATGATAAAATTGAAAGCAGCGTTCTTTTAAGCCTATTCATTATATAGTTACACCTCTATGTAGTATTTTCAATTTGTCAATAGATAAAGGGATGTTTATATTCCATGAAATTAGCCAAAATTGTATATAAGAAGGGGGATAAGTTCATTTTTTATCTAACTATAGATCCATTTCCATTTATCTGTATTTGCTATAACGTATAACGTATATTGTCATATTATTGTCATAATGATATTATATCTAAAAAGCAATTTGGTTTTAGACCTACATGTAGGTACTCAATCTATATGCCATTAATTGATTTTTGTGATAAAATAGCTAATGCGTTTGAGAATAAACGATTTGTTATCGGCACTTTCCTTGATCTATCCAAAGCGTTTGATTGCATTAGCCATGACATTCTTATACACAAATTGAAATACTATGGTATAAGAGGTATTGCCTTAGATTGGTTTAAGAGCTATCTTCACAATCGCAAACAGTATGTACATACACTGTTGGTCATAAAGGTGGAATAATTATTTTTATCCCAATTAATGGAATGATTTTGACAATGATTTATTCCTAATATATCTAAATAATAGTGTAAATTATCAGCTATTATTGAATAATAATTTGCGAGTGTTTATTTTGCGTGACTGCTAAAGCATGCTACTTTGCTAATCAACTAGGGGACTTACGTCATTAAGTCATAACTGACAGATATGAGGATTAATGCCTCACAAAAGGGCACTAATATAGCTAATCGACACGGTTTTTATTCTAGGGCCTCAAAGTAACGAGGCCACTGCCGTGTCGATGTGCTATATTAGTGCCTTTTTGTGAGGAATTAATCCTCATATCTGTCAGTTATGACTTAAGGACGTAGGTCCACTAGTTGATTAGCATAGTAGCACACACATGCTTTAGCAGTCACGCAAAATAAACACTCACAAATTATTATTCAATAATATCTGATAATGTACACTATTATTTAGATCTATTATGAATAAATTATCAATCATTGTCAAAATCATTACAAACATTTGGGTATATATAATTATTCCACCATTACGACCAACAGTGCATTAATGGGTATTCAAATTTCATCCCCTATACAAAATATCAATATTGGTGTTCCTCAGGGATCTGTTTTAGGCCCTTTGCTTTTTTATTATGTATATAAATGACTTACAGTTTATCAGCAATATCTTAGATTTAGTTTTTTCACGCAGATGATAGCAATTTTTTTTTATAACTGAAATAATATACAGGATGTCTGTGCAATATTAGATAAGGAATTATGCAAGATAAACCAGCAAATTGAAAATACATACTAATAAAACATCATGCATGGTTTTCCACACCAAAAATAATATATTAATATAAATAGCATGAATGTAAAAATTCCTGGTTTTGATATTCCAGTTGTAAATACAACTAAATTCTTAGGAGTAATATAAGATAATCATTCCAATTGGAAAATATCAAGTACATAACATATGTTGTAAAATATCAGGAGCAATTTGTGCAATCAGTAGAATAAGTGCAATTGTACCAACACATATCCTTTTAAATTTATACTTATATGATCTTGCCTCACCTTATGTATTGCAACATTGTATGGGGACATTGTGCAAAATATCTTTTAAATCGTATTCATATTCTTCAAAAACGTGCAATCAGGTTAGTCACGAACTCTAAGCCTTACACTCATCCAGGTCCTTTGTTTAAACAAAAATGAAATTAGTAACTATATTTGATATTGATAAATTTCATTCCTATTTTCACGAAGTGACGGTAGTGAAGAAAATCCGCACGCAAATTGTATGCGATTTTCATTCACTACCGTCACTTCGTGAAAATAGGGACGATTTGTAACCTGCACATTTATGTATTAATATATCAATAACTCCTTGCCGAAATTTCTAGAAAATGGTTTCATAAAGAAAAAATATATATACGATATAAAGACAGAACAATAATTTGTATGTTCCTGATTAGATATACTCAATTACTCAGGGCCGATCATGTGGAATACTCCATTGAATACCTTGAAATGCACCAAAGTTCTTTCAGTTTTTAAACGAACATATAAAATTCATCTTTTAATTTTATGTTAATTTGCCTTCTCGTTCCTCTCCCATTCCTTTTCCCCACTTTTTTATTTTTTTATTGTAATCGCTGATGTTGTATTGTTAGTTACTGAGTTCATGTTTTGGCTAAATTTGACTACCATGTATATACTTAAAGGTAATACAAAGTTTTGGGAAATTTTGAAAAGTGGGTGGATAGCGATTTAATTTGGGTATATTTGGGTGCCCCTGTGGATGTATTATAAGCACTAGAGAATTAGCCCCTAAAAGTCTTATGCTTTCGAGAAAAATTGTATATACAAATTTACCGGTGCTCCCGGTAATTTTGATGAATTTCAAATAGTGCTACGGCCGTACAAAATGTAGCTGCGACAATGAAAATCTCAGAATATGTTGCTATGATATTATTAACGGGAATAGCTAATCAGTCGATTGTAGTCAAGAAACATTGTTTTATGGCTGAATTAAAATCTCGACCTTGAGAGGGAGCTATACAACATAAAGAGTTTGTTATTTAAAATTTTTTATAACTTGAGACTCGATTTCAACCGTGACAACGATCAGTGAATATTGTAGGACCGCATATGCTTTCAATATGTTCATTTGCACGAAATGCATGACCCCATACCAACATTTTGTATTACCTTTAAGGGATTGACCATAGAAAGGCCTGTAAGCCTATTGTCGATCCCACCATTATCTGTTATGTATATTTTTCTTGTTTGTATTTTTATCAGATTGTGGAAATAAATTTGAATCGAATTATTATTATTATCATTAATATTATTATTATTATTATTATTATTATTATTATTTTCATCATCATCATTATTGTTGTTATCATTATCATTATTAGTGCTTTTGTTATCATTTTTGTTCATATCATTACTATTATCTCTCTTTCGCATGATAGATTTAGAAGTACGACTGGTTGATGGAAAGGATAGACGAGAAGGCAGAGTTGAGGTTTATTACAATGGAGCCTGGGGAACTGTCTGTGATGACTTTTGGGCTGACACCGAGGCTACAGTTGTCTGCCGAAGTCTCGGATTCGAGTCTGGAACTCTGGCAGCATTCGCTCATTTCGGAGAAGGATCAGGAGAAATCGTCCTGGATGATGTATCATGTACTAGAAATGAAACAAATCTTGGTGAATGTTCTAATGCTGGTCTCGGCGTCCATAACTGTGGGCACTCTGAAGATGCCGGAGTCTTCTGTTCCGCTCAGACAGTATCAGCAGGTATGTTGTTGATGTAATACTTTCCAATATATTATTCACATAGTATTTGGTGAAGCACCTTTTCCCTGCTGGTCTCGGAAACAACCACTGTGGACATCATGAAAGTGCAAGCGTGCGATGCCAAACTGGATGGATTCATATCCACCCCAAACGTGCACTGCCTGGACAGTTTCTCCATTCGTCATAGCGACTTGCGCGACCGATCACACATGCACAGCAGAATTACGCACGTGAGAGGAATATAGCACACTGAGAGAGGCAGTTGAGACTACGCGTAAGCGTGTTTAATCCATAGCATCTCAGAGTGTTGTTAATTTGTATTGCAAATGTATCAGTTCCCCCCTTTAGTTAGCAACCCTCAACGTAATGTTCAACTCCATCATAATTAGAAAAAGAATATGATTTTTAAATGAACCATAGTAAAGGAGATTGGAAATTTTAACCCCCAAACTGCAACTTTGTAAACGAAAATAATCATTTTAGATTTTAAACTTTACAAACTTTAGCGACTTGAATGATTAGTTACATTACAATCGCTCTTATTCGAGGACCGCACATCGTACTGTATTGAAAATGGATTATAAAATGTCTGTGATGTTTTGCTTTCTTTGCTCGTGTATAATGTGCAGATCCTAGCGTTCAGAATTTAAGGATATCGCAAAACGTCACTAAAAGGAGACATTAATGATACGGCTGTGGGTCAAATATTGACATCTTAAACTTAGGGCAATCCAACCCTCGTAAATACCTGCATTAGTTTGAAAGCAGAAAAATAAGAGAAACGGGAAAGCGAAAATTTGAGATAAGTCTGTAATAAGAAAATTATTAATGTTTGAAATATGAGATCACTAAAGCTATGCGATTCTCAAATTGGCAATTTTGTCAGTAAGTAATTGACGTTGTCATGGACAGCTCTCTCGTTTATCGTGTATAAAAATATCATCAATTTTTGTTTTTCTTCCAAGTAAATTCTTCCTTGGGGCACTCATCAAAATATTTAATTGATAGTTGATATTAATATTGTACATGTAGGTCCTCTGAAGAGAAAAGACCTTCCCGAGTCATACATTTTGAAAAAGATGACATGTAAGCCATTTTGTGTGTTGGAACAAATTGGAAATTTGTTAGGCCCTATATCACAGTGACATCACATTGATTCATCATATTTGAAGTTCCAATACGTATAGTCTTACAACTTACAGAAATCTCCAATTTTCTTTTTTCGGTTGTTTTATTTCGATCAAACTGTCACCAGTCTGCTTCTCTGATTTGTCTGCTTTCCTCTTTTTTGTTATTTTTTCGTATTAATTAATATTATCTCTCTTTCGCATCATAACTGTAGAATTACGACTGGTTGATGGAACCTGCAACAGCGAAGGCAGAGTTGAGGTTTTCTACGACGGAGTCTGGGGAACGATTTGTGATGACTTCTGGGATGACACCGATGCTGGAGTTGTCTGCCGAAGTCTTGGTTACAGCTCGGGAACTGCGGTAGGAAGCGCTGAATTCGGACAAGGTTCAGAGGATATGCCAATCATATTCGACGATGTTCGGTGTTCCTCTAGAGATACCGCTCTGGAGTATTGCCCGAGCAATGCTCCTTTCGATAATAACTGCTCGCACGCCGAAGATGCCGGTGTCAGATGCACTGAGTGAAGGTAAATACTAAGCATGACCCGGCACGGTTCATAAAACCTATCATCAATACCAAGTGAAGATAACTGTTACAAGCTACATAAAGAAATATATCTGATTGGTTGTCAGCGAATTTGTAATTGAATATTGACACTTGTTATTAATGGTAAGTTTAATGAATCGGGGGAGAGGGGGAGGGGGAACAGCAGAAGGTAGATTCCAAAGTCATCCAAATGTTAGGGCGTGGTGGCGGGAGTCTCCCGCTTCGAGCTGGTGGGATGGCGGGAGAATGAGCGTGGTGTCGTGAGATTCCATCCAAATGCGGGAGGGTTTACAGCCCTGTATAGGCCTATGTAGATATTAAATTCATAATTTAGACCTATCACTGTTACCATTTCTAGTTGCTGTTGTTGTTGTTGTTGTCAGGGAATGCTTCAACCCAAACGGCAAACCTGTTACCTGGTTCCATTTTAGGGCCTTTTCATAGAACTGTCGGACTTACTTGTGCCGCCCCTTCTACTTCTCTATGATAAATCAGCTTAATCCATTCTTCCCATTATCTGGTAGTTCTTTTCAGCCATGACATCATGTTGTGTGAAGGATGATAACAGTTTTTTAGGACGTCTTGAAATATATATCGCAAAAACCAAAAATATTTCTCATCATAGTAGCTTCTATTTCATTTTTTTAATTCTTTTTAATTTTGCAGACGATGCTGAGAGAACGTGTACACCTCGAGTGTTACAGTGACCCGATTTAAAGTTTTCTGCCACTCTCTTCCATCTATACTCTTCTTCATGGCACGATGACCAAGGATTTAACTGTTATCTATCTCTATTGCATTTTAAAGCTGGTATTATAAAACACATTGAGATATAGCGTTCATCTTTAATGATAGGGACCCGTTATAAAGATGCTTAAGTTGGCTTTGTGTAGTGCAAAGCTGTCTCATTTTTTTACCAGTTGCTCGTGCTTTTTTATAATAATTGAATACCAGGGTAGTCGTTTTTCATAGAACTTATAACGGTGTAAGTTATAACAAGCCGAAAAGATAGTAGATGATTCCATTAACTGAAAAAATATCAAGAACTATATAATCTTTAACACTGACGATCATGGACAATTTTATCACAATGATATCGAAATAACATATGGTATGCATTGATATAATCAATTTTATTAATCAGTCATAATGAAAGTCACATTTTAAAAGATGATCAATATCGGTCAAGTGTCATTGTGTAATATATCATGTCTAAAAGACATAAATTATACAGAAGTACGTATTATATGATTACATTTTTGTGGGTTTTCTTTACATAAAATTTCAAATCTAAAGCGGAAGTAAATTAATTCGAACATACATTTTTATTAGATATCCAATCGTTAAGGGGGACGGATATTTCAATATTTAAAATCGTACTTTCCACATGATTATGATATTGATAGATAATCGCAATTGGTGATAAAATGTGAGATAAAACTATTTTGATTTGTGAAATCTTGGAGTTATTCGTCGGTATAAAAATGCTTTGTGTTGGACTGTTGGTTTTCTTAGATGCAAAGAATTTGATGGTCGAACCTTTTTCACGCTTCCCTTCAATTTGATTATGATACGTTGCAGGGGCCTACTAACTGGATCCAAATTGAAAGTATTCTATGGTTTCTTTGGGATTAAAGTCTTTCTGCATTGCACGTTGTTTGTATCGTATGTTCCTTTGTGTACAATCACAAAGACTTTCAAGAAATCAACTCAAGGGTGGCAATTTCAATACTCTATAGATATCATATTCAGATTACGTAATATGTCACCAGGTGATGGACAAATCGTTGAAATTGCCCTAGGTTGATTTGTTGATAAATGTTGATAAATTATGATTATAGTTGATGGGGGTGGATTAACAAACTCTTCACTAAACTCAGGGAATTTATTACATAGAGAGTAAATGAGGCACAAGTGGGAAATAGAATGATGAGAGAGAGAAAGAGAGATTATGTCTATGTATGAAAAGGAGAGAGATGTATGAGAACGAGAAGAGGAGGGAAAAATCAGGAAAAGAAAAAGAGATAGGGAAAGAAAGATGGAGATTGAATGAGATAGGGGAAGAGAGAAGGAGAGAGTGAGACTGGAACTTATCGAAATATAAATAATTGTGAGTTAGAGTGAAATCTTGACCGAGTCAGAGCAATGCACCCATGAATTTGTTACGCCTAGAGTATACATGTTCACTTTTTTTATATTTTAAACAATTTTGTTTTATTTCTCCAGATGTGTAATACAAACCATGACATACAATTGAATAAAATAAACGTGTTCAATATTGATGTGCGTATATACACATACGCACACACACGCACGCACACACGCGCACACGCACGCACGTACACACGCGCACACACACATGCCTATTCCTCCCCACAACCACTCACGCCCCGTATGTCTACATGTACATTGTGAGTCGAAAACAAGTTTACAACTACAAAAAATTGCTAATTATTTTAAAAATCATCTATGAACAGTAAACTATTATACATCTATTAAAAGAGTGTTTTATCCCAAATCATTTGGTATAATTCGTATGTGGGGTGTTAACGCTTGGATGAACAGGAGACATTGTTTGGAGAGTGCAAAAATCGACTTACACCAGTAATGCTTATGTGATGTTTGAAGAAAAAACAAACAATTGGGATTTGGGTATTAATTCGGTCTTTGCAGATCCAAATAACATCCTTAACAAAATTTATCATGCCACACATATAAAAAATAAAAGAACATTTGTGCCCATGTGTGTGCGCGTGTGTGTGTGTGTGACTTTGTTTCTGCTTAAAGCTTATGCAATGCATCTCAGATATATTCATTATCTTACTTTTATAATTTTGTACGAGTCGATTTTTGCACTCTCGCAAACAATGCCTCCTGTTCATCCAAGCGTGAACACATACTACATACAAATGATACAAAACGATTCGGGATATAACACTTTTTCAAAACATGTATAATAACCTTTCGTTTATTGCTGACTTTTAAATCAAATGATTTTTTTTTGGTGTAAACTTTTTTTCGACTCGCACGCCATATTAACAGGCAAATAATGTTGTCACATGATAATATTTTAGGCGAACCTTAGAGATTTATGAGTCTTAATGCCCTTTAAAGATACCAGTTTTCAAAAACAACTCAGGAGCAATAAGGAAACCTTCCAGGAAAACACGCCTTGCTGTATTATTTCTTTATTAGTTACACATTTTATTGAAACATTAATGAAAGCTTCAGTCTCTTATATCGAGAGCTATTCCTCTGAGACTAAGACTATGCCTGACTCTGACCGCCTCTACATGTGTATGGGCAAGCTAGGTTGACAAATGTCAGTTTGAATTCCCCATACCAGACGGATAATTCGGAATTATTACAGAGCAGCCATTAATAAACTAGCAAGATATAGCACAACAATTCAGCAGAGAACTACAATAACACATGGTGGCAATGCAGACATGAATGTTATTGATATCAAGTTTTGATATTTTTTCTGAAACATTTTATATTTAATAGGAAAATGAGTGTCCATAGCACAGTTAGAATCGTAAAGACAATCTTATTAGATATAACAGGAAATAAATTACAACGTTGATTATGATAGATGTGCCATCATTTCTTCTGCAGATTATTACATATGCCATTACAGGTACTTAAATTACATATATCAATTGTCATGCTTTATATACACGCCTAAAACAGGAGAGTCACCACCCTTGCACGTTAAGAACCCATTGCACTTTTCGTATAAGAGTAGGGGGAAACCTCGGTGTAATGGTCCACCTGCACACCCCAAATCAGGCCGAGTATACGGCATCTGCAAGAATCTTCAGTATTGAAGGAGGCAGATTATCTTGAAGAAGAAGAAGAAGAAGAACATAATACCGTTCTGTCAGGAAATAGAATTTTCATTTTGTGTTGCCTGAAACAAATCCCTTCATAATAGAAATGTATTTCGGTATACGGGCCTACAATCGGACAAATGTCATGTCTGTAATAATTCAGAAGAGTTCTCAGTGAAGAACGCAGCAAAATCAAACAAGCCAAACAAAATGACCCTTCACTGAAACCAAGGTACAACTTTTTGAACAGAGAGATAAAGAGGAAGACTAGGGGCTGTAAAGAAGCGTGGCTCAACGACCTTTGCAGTAGAGTAGAAAATGCACACCAAGCTGCTAAATCAAAGGAGGTTTATGCAACAATTAAGAAAATCACCAAATCAGCATCAAAGAGAATGCAATCAGTTAAGAGTAAGACAGGAAGAACTTTAACAGATCAATCAGAAGTAAAGAAGAGATGGAAAGAAAACTCTGACGAACTATATAATGAACACAACCCCCAAAACGACACAGTAGCAAACAGTCTACCCAACAGCTCTTCAGATAACCCAGAGTCAAACATACTGAAGGAAGAAATTAAAAGTGCAATACAAAAACTCAGTGAGGATAAGGCACCAGGATTTGATACAGTCACTTCCGAGGAAATCAAAGCAGCTGGAGAAACAGGAACCGACATTTTTCACTATCTTTGTAAACAAATATGGGAATCTGAGAAATTCCCGAAGGAATGGGGAAGAGCAGTAATAACCCCAATATACAAGAAGAAATATAAACTAGACTACGGGAACTACAGAGGTATCAGTCTGCTGTCCCATGCAGGAAAAGTACTGACCATAATCCTACAAAGGAGAATTATCAAAAGAACAGAATAAATCCTCTCTGAATCCCAGGCAGGATTCAGACCAGGCAGGGCTACGACGGACCAAATATTCACCCTGAGACAAATATCTGAAAAATACCTGGAAAAGAATAGAAGCCTGTACTGCTGCTATATCGACTTTCAGAAGGCCTTCGATTCGGTATGGCAGAAGGGTCTGTGGAAGGCGATGGGATGTTTTGGCTATCCTAGCAAGCTGATACGACTGCTACAAGCACTGTACGAACAATCCGAGAGTGCGGTCAGAGTAAGTGGAGAGCTGACAGAGTGGTTCAAGACAACCGTTGGAGTCAGGCAGGGGTGTGCCATCTCCCCACAACTTTTCAACATACTCCTCGAGCTAGTAATGATCATGGCAATGGACGAAGTCCAAATAGGAGCTAAAATCCAAGGAACCTGCATAAATAATCTACGTTTTGCAGACGACATCGTCCTAATAGCAGAGATACCAGAGGAACTGCAGACACTTGTGGACAAAGTCTACAGGGCAAGCTGTGACCTTGGACTCAAGGTAAACATAGCGAAGACAGAAGTGCAAGTTATCAGCAAAAGAAAGTGCAACCTTGACATTGACATAGCAAACGAAAGACTGAAACAGGTGGAAGATTTTGTGTACCTGGGGGGGGGGGGGAATAGCTGAAAACGACTCAAGTTCAAGTGACACCAAAAAAAAAAATCCAAAGGGGAGGGGGGGGGGGTTTAGGGGGGTTATGGGGGGATTACACACGCAAATCTTCGGTGAAAATTTGCCTATATATAAAACTCTCGGTGCTGTTTTTGCACATACCAATATTTACATTCTTGTCTCCTTCAGCTCAAGATGTGTCTCTTTACACTTCTATCTGTTTGTCCTTCTGCAAGTTTGTGTTTCGCCACACGCGAGTAAAAGCCGAAGGTCCATTTTTCAGGGGAAATGTAATGTTCTCAAACAGTCAAATTTATGCCATTGCTGGCGGAAAATCATTTCCATAGGTCTTGTAGAATAGGATATTTACAAGAGCAAAACATAAAGGGGGGTATTTTTCAGAGCCTGATCAAACGTCTACAAAAAAATCCGTGTGGATGAATTGGTATGTTTGGGTGAAAAAGGCATTTCTCTATTCTCTCTCCTCTCCTTATCTCCTTCTCTCTACATATTTTGTCTTTAACTGACGTTCTCATTTGCATTCCTCTCTCTGACACACACACACACAAACACGTCCACACACGTAAGCGCGCGCCCACTTTCTCAACTCTGCAATATCGCATGGTTCTAATAATGTATATGTATTGCCGGAATACAGTTATTTATATATATATATAATATTTATATAGGTTTGAAGTATTCGTTAACTCTGACAATCAATTTTTCAAGAAAAGAGAATAAAAGTTGTTAAAAAAATCCAAAAAAGTGTATCTGGTTTAAGTTTATTATCACTCAAACTTGTGAATAGAACATTATTATTTTGATTAACCGTTGATGAACTGTTAGGGTAACGTTTAATATGATCTGGTATTCAACTGTCCTTAACCCATAGCAAATTTATAGTATCACCGTTCAGTGACTTGACACAAAAAATCTTTTGATCCAGGATTCTAAGAAGTATGGACTGTACAGAAACAGAAAGTGCAAAAAATTACAGATAATTTTGGAACGTCATTATTTAGTTATGTGATCATTGCAGTTTCTAAATTGGCAATGCGGTGTGAAATTTATAATCACTTTTTTGCGAACAACTTGCAATTTTTGGTTGAATTAAGTGATTTACATTCACCGCAGTTTCAAATCCATTTCTATTTTTGGACCTTGTAAGAATCGTTCATTGAAAAGTGGAACAAATTTGAGAAAATTGTCCATTTATTTATAACTTCAAAATGCTATGAACTATTATGAATTTATTTTCTTTATCCCAGTAGTGATCACAGTGTTACTTGCACAAACTGCTAATTTTGTAAATAAAAAAAA